GGCAGCACCAGCCTCACCCATCCTCCGGTGTAATTCCAAGTGTCTCGCTACCCCAATCCACCCTGTCCAAACACCAAGTCCCACCAACTGACCGTCATAGCCTCATCTCAGCATCCCTGACTCAGCCACTACTCGGCCCCTTACTGGTCTCTCCTACTCCAGGTGCAACCCTCCAACAGCCCTCCATGTGGCTGCCACAGGGACACACTGTCTAAAACCCACAAAGCTTCCCAGGTGCTCCAGGGCCCTGCACAACCTGCCGACAGTTCTAGCTCACAGTCCTCGTCTGGAACCCACGGCTCCAGCTTCACACCAGCACTTCCAGTCCCTGGATGCTTCTGGCTCTTTCTCACCTCGGTGCTCCTGCTCGAGCTCTGCTCAGGCTCTGCCCGTGGCCCAGAATCCCTGCCCCTCCTTGTCACTCCTCCATACTCAGCTCAAGTGCCCTTCCCCAGGAAGCCTGTCCTGCCTACCCTGGGCTGGGGTAGGCACTGGTTCTTCATGCTCCCACACCACCTCGTGCACCAAGCTCTAACACTGCCATTACCAAATTATTACACAATTTTCTCTTTTAGCAAGTCTCTTTCCAACCCGTACTCAGTGGACAACCTCAAAAGACACCTGCACGAAACCCCAAAGGCAGAGAAATAGAAAGGAGGAACTCTGGAGATCCCAGCACACAGACATGCTCATTCCCCACCAGTCAAACCCTCTGCAAGCCAGCATCACCCACCAGCCACCTACATGGGCACATTGCACACGCACCAGCAGGTGTGGCGGTGTCCCCTTTACCTGCGGCCTCTTGGGCTCATCACCTGGGCATGACGTTCTTCCACACACCCCTTTAAGGGGGCTTCTTGTGCCAATGCCCATTTGCAGTGCCCCCTATAACTAACCTCCCATCCTCCCAGGCACAGCACCTGTGCCCACGATACCTTGGCCAGGGATCTTACTATGGGGCTTTCCATAATGCCGCGAAGGAAGATCAGGTCGAGCTCTGCAGCCCCCGTGGCATTGGGGAGGGATCCCAGGTTGTCCAGGACTTGCTGCATGGCTGGGGGAAGGAGTGCGCAGTGAGACACACAGATGCCAGCTAGGCACAGGAGACCCAAATACCACAACGCCTCCCTCTCCCCCGCCATGTCCCACAGAAGACAGCCTCTTCCTGGCAGCACTTTCCTCCCTGCTGGCACAGAGGCCTGGGTTAGAAGTTTAAGGAGCAGGGGGCAGTTTCGCTCCACCCCAGGTAATGTCAGTCAGGACAGGTGGGAGGCTGCAGACAGCAGGGAATAGACTAAGAAAGAGAAGCAGGAGTCAGGTTCCGGGTTTTGCTCTGAGTCAGTGAACCACACACTCTTCATTCAACCTCTGGAGAGTCTGAAGCTTCAGGGCTTGGCCACCAGCACCCGGCAGGCTCAGAGATGAGAGAGACAGCGCTCAGAGCACATCCCTGAGTGCAGGTCCAGAGTCAAGCAGGCAGCCACACGGAAGGCCAGGGCCTACGCAACACCTAGCCCAAGCCATACCACTAATTCAGATGTTGCGCAAGTCTATGTCCCTCGTTGGTCTCAACCTTTCCCTCATGTAAAATGGGTGGGCTGACTAGATGATGTCTACGGGCCCTTCGCTTCTGACAATGATCTACGATCCTTTAGAAATTAACGTAGGTGATAGGAGGCCAAAGCTGAGGCCTAGAATAATGGCAGGCTGGGGGAAAAGGCACCCCGGGGCCTAGGGTGGCTGTAGGTACCTAAGGGCAGAGGTCAGACCAAGATATCCCAGAGGTCATCAGATCCTTAGGCTGATACAGGGTGTACCCAAGGACATGGGAACACCTGAAGCTGGGCCATGGCAATGGCCACAAGAGCTGAGTGGGGGATGCCTTCGCCCACTGGCAGGAGTGGGAGCTCCAGGCTGTGGCAGGTTCTGGAGGAAGGAGGGGAGAAGCACAGTGTGCCCAGCTGGGAGCAGAGATGGGCAGGGGGTATCATTATTCTGCCACCCTGCCACCCACGCCTGCATCAGCATAACAGCACCCAAGCCCCAAAGGAGGGTGGGTAGATGCATTCCCTGGCACCTCTCAAACCTCTTGTCAGTGCTCCCCTCCTCCAGGAAGGAGAGAGGTGGGAGGAGGGGACATGGAACTAGCTTTGGCAGAGGTGGTTCAGGGCCTCCTGGACTCCCATCCTCTTTCCTCCCTCCTCCTGCCTGTCCAGAAGCAACAGCCAAGTCTGCCCTCCAGGCCTCTCCTGTCCAGGCCTGGGCTTCGGCACTGGCCAGAGACCTGCAGAACCATCAGTGGACTCTGAAAGAGGCCAGGGCAGGGGTCCTTCTGCCAGGCTATGTCACGATCCACCCTTCCCAGTCATCCTCACACACAGATCCCCAGCCTGACAATCAGCAGGGGAGGACTGAGCCAGAGGAGTTGGTGCCCTGTGGCCAAGCCAGCCCAGGCCATGCCCCCAGACCCTTCAGGCCTTCAGGAGCCCGCTCCTAGGGCCCCCTCTCCAAAAGCCCCATAACCCGCCAAGAAGGGTAGGTTAGGGGATGGGTTTTCCCTCCAGCCTCCCCAGTCGCCCTTCCCTACCTTCCCTCCGGAGCTCCGCTTCCTCAGAGGAGCCCAGGGATATACCCTCCAAGGAGGCCCCGCTGCCTGGGCTGCCCGCCATGGCGACCCCTGGCGTGGGATCTGGAGTAGCCTCCACGCAGTGGTCTGCCGCCTTCCCAGCGAGAGGGACAGCACTGGAGAAGGCGGGCCTTGGGAGGGAGCCCTCCACAGAGTCAACCAATAGCAAGGCTCAGCTACCCTGACCGCCTTGCTGATTGGCTAAAACCGAGACTGGCGCGGCCCAGTGGTGGGGGGCGTTAACAGGGTGGGAGAAGGGCGGTGGGAAAAACCGAGTCCTCGTCCTGCGGTGGCTGGATCCCCTGCGTTTTAGTACCAAAGGGTGGGGAGCAGACGGCTAGGAGAAGTTGAAGGGCAGAGGGTAAGCATGGTGCCCCTCCAGGACTGGTGCTATGCCCAGAGACCCCTCCCCTTACAGCTAGCTGCAGGAAACCCAAGGGGGGAAAGACGCGATCTAGTTCCTTACCCTGACTTTTGTGAAAGTCCCTCCCCTAACACACCCCATGCCACCTCCTCCCCCGTGCACTCTGACCTCTGCTCTCCATCCCTTCTCCAGGCTCTGATTCCTTTACAATGGCTCTTTCAGTCAAAGGAAAGCCCCAAGAACAACTCTTGGTCCTCGATTTGTGGGTGTTTGTGTGTAGGGAGGCGAGGGGGAACTCACTATAGCACCGGGTAAGTATCTCAGGTCCCGATTACCTCCCCCTCCCAGCCCGCCAGCCGTCCACTAGGGAAGAGGAGGAGCCTGGATGGTGGCAGCAGCTCCGTGGCATAGCACCGCCCTTCCCCATCTCCCATCAGGGCCTCCCCTGGGTAAGGGGTGATGCTGGAAGGCAAGTCAGGCATCTTGGAACTGGGAAAGGGAAAAGGTGAGGACACAGTCCTGCACCAGGGATGGGGGTGGCAGGAGGGAGGGAACCGGCAACTGCCCCTGCCCAGTGCCCTGTTCCTCTCAAACCTTGTGCCCATGAGGCCACCGCTAGGGCGCTGCAGCCACCAGTCAGCATTCCCTGAGGAGTGGCACCAGGTCGCATTGCACCCCTGGTTGTCATGGCAGCAGGCCGGATTACACACCAGGACAGTAATCAGGGATGGGAGAGGGATTTAAAGGGACAGCTCCCCCTGAAAGCAGCCAGGCATCCCAGCCTTGCTTCAAAGAAAGTAGGGAGTCTGGTGAAAGAGGAAGAGAGGCTAGGCTGCAGGTCAGGAGCCCACAGGAACAAAATGCCTAAACCCTTAGCCTGTGCCGTGCCCACATATCTCCAGATCCACATCCAACCCTCAGGAAAAGAACTCTTCACCATACTCAAAGGAGAGTTGGAGTCTCTGCAGAAGGAATACACCAGCACCATTCCCCTCCTCTAAAATGACATTGACATTGAGCACAGGGAAGAATGGGAGAGGGACCCTGCTAGCTTCTCTGCAGAGCCCAAGGCAGGGACCTCGAGGGAAAGAAGAAAGGAGGGAGGAGCCTGACCTCAGAGGCTGGGGAGCAGCTGTCTCCCTGTCAGTCCTGCAGGAAGGGTAATGGCCACCAACTAATACAGGGCAGAACCCACTACTGAATTTCTGAGTCCGAAGAATACAGTCAGGGTGGGGGCTGAAGGCTGCCTGAGGGAAGGAAGCACCTTGAACTTTTTCCTTTGGATAATGGGAAGCCAGAAGTGGACCCAGGCACAATATCCAGGGGTCTCAGGGGGCCTTTGAGGAAGCAGACCCCACCACTGGCTTCTGGGTGCCACTCCCTGCCCTGTCTTCCACTCCCCACTCTACTCCACCCCCCAACACACACACACACACACACACACACACACACACACCAAGCTCCTATCAGTAGCAGCAGCAGGAAAGCCAAACTGCTGAGCCTGCTCCTTCCCCTACCCACCTGCCAGGCACTATTAATGGGTTTATGGGCAGCCCCAGATTAAGAGGCCTTTAATCACAGGCTCAAAGATGGGTTTAATTAACCCCTAAGCAGCTTACAGTGGGGCCCAGGCTGGCTGGAGCAGGGGGAGAACCTAGGAGGCCTAGCAGGTTGGACAGGAATTGGGGGCCCCAGTCCTCTGATGTTGCAGAAGCTGAAGACAGATACGGCCCCTCCAATGTGGGGAGAAGAGGTCTTTCCTGGGGGACAAGAGTGTTAGAGTTTAGGGTCTGGCTCACTCATAGCTGCCTTCACTTTTCCAAAGGGCAGGGGTGGAGAGTCATTCTAACCAAAGTAGGGGGCCTGGAACATCTTGCTGAGGCAGCCACAGGCCTAGAGCAAGGGAAGGGCTGTGTGGAGGGAGGCGACCAGGCAGGGGAAGAGTGGACAAGTCAGAGCAAACCTCTTGCAACAGCTAGACACCTGCCAGAGCCTCTGGCACAGACATAACCTGATGGGCCCCTGAATGTACTCAGGGGGGCCCTAGAGTAGAATGCAGAGTTTGTGCATGGAGAGCCCATCGCTACCATCAGATTCTCAGAGATCAAGGACCAGAGTTAAGAACACCAATCCTGGGGACCAGCAGATGGCGTAATGGCTATGTCGCTGGATTCCCACGTGGTCGACTGCAGTTTAAGTCCTGGACCCTGAAGCTTTAAACTCACACCAGGCACGTGTGCGTGCATGCCCAAAATCCCAACAGGAGAATGGGATTGTGGTGTGGCCATCTGCCCTGGGGAGTGATTTCTTGCTTTCTGTCTCTGGCTCTGTCTCTCCGGTGAGCGCATGTGGCCTATAGCTGAAATATCTTAAAAACAAACAAACAAACAAAAAACACCAATCATGTCCCTTCACTTCATCTTAAGAGAGACTCAGGTCCTCACAGGGAGATGACTAAGGCCACAGGGCTGGTGCCATAATGCAGCAGCAGTAGCGTAACTGAACATTCCTAACGGTAACTAACATGCTCGCCCGTCATAGCCCTTGGGCCTCCCCTCAGCCTCCTGACAGGAGAGCACATGCGGGCTCCCAGAGGTCAGGCGTTGAGCCTCTGAGGCTTTCCGTGCTTGTCCCGACAGCCCGATTCTCTCGCGCCTAGACCTCCTGTGGAATCACACACAGCCAGGCATCCTGGCTTGGTATTCTCACCCCTCCACTCAAAGCTTCTGTGCCTGAGCAGCCCCGCCCGCCTCTAGCACATGCTGGTGGAGTGGGCACTGCACAGTGGACTGCTCATCCCCAGGACGTGCTGCTGCAGCCCCTCGGCCCCCAAGCCATCCTCCAAGGCCCATCTTCCAGGCACCTCCCAGGGCACTTCCATGCCACTGCCCTCCAGCAACGATCTGGCTCATCCTAAGCAGGCAGCCCCCTGCCCTCCTCAGAGGTGAGTTGCTGTCTCCAGCACGACCCCCGGGGACCGGGGGCAGGTGTGAGTCTTATTCCTCCTCTCCTCTGTCCCAGCACAGGGACCCACACAGAAGAGACGGCCGTAGAAGCTGCCTGAACGAAGGGCTGAGTGACTGGGTGCAGCAGTGGGGCAGGAGGGCAGTTTGTTCTTATCTGGAGCTGTGGAAGGACCTTACTGCTGCCCCCCATCCCCAAGATCTTGCCTGGCACCCTCTGAACCATCGAAATAAGCGGACGCTCTCACCCCCTCTTACCAGACTCGGAGTTGGTGGCAGCGACCGGCATGGTGAGGTCGGCACAGGCTCTGAGATGTCTCTCCTGGAGAGAGGAGAAAGGAGGATGTGAAGGCACAGGGGCAAAGCCGTGGGGAAGGGAAGGGGGACGGGCTCCCCTCAGGAACAGCCAGCAAGGTAGGGGAGAGGGCACTCTCAGACACGTGGGACGGGGTAGCAGCAAGGATCCCACCGTCCTGGAGGAGGAAGAGGAGCCATTCCGTGCCCATTTCTCAGAGGAGGAGGACACCAAGACCGAGGAGGTTCAGACAGGTTCATTTATTTCAAAGGATCACATCGATGAACTGATCTGAAAGCTAATAAGGAGAGCTACAGCAAAACCCCAGGTTTTATGACTGAAAAAAAAAAAAGTGTTTCCACCTGTCATTTGTTTTTCGTTTTAAGAGCACTGAGTAGGTAGGAGTCCAGAAATTGAATCAAAAGCTGGGGTGGGGGAGAATATAAGCTCCATGAGAGCAAGACTCGCATCCGTGTATCTGCCTTGGGAGCCAGGCCTGGCAGGGAGTGGCTTGTGTGCCGGGCTGGCTGACAGTGCTGGGCTACCTCCCCAAGACCTGTCTTCTCTCAGGCTTCCCCTCTCTTCCTGTGCCCCTTCTTAGCCCAGAGCTGGAACAAGCTGAGCAGGAGTTCTAGGCAAACCACATACGTAGTCCACAGTCCCAGTTTCCTATGCAGGACCTCTCCCAAGTGAAGGTTGGCACCCCCATTTTCCCAGGAGGGGGGTTAACCCACCAACCTTCCTCCTAGTGCCTTCCTGGGCATGTGCTACTGGATAAACCCTAATTCCCAGTTGTCATGACAACAGGAGGCTGTGGCTCACGGCAGGGGTGGGGAGTGGGGAGAAGCAGCTGGCAGTGCCCACTTCAGGACTGAAAGCCTGCTGGGCCCTGGCAGTGGGGGAGTCACAGCAACTTCATCTTCCTCCCAAAAAAGACTCTTCCCAGAGGAACCACTACCTGATTTCAATAAAATCCTCTCTCCTCCTATTTCCCTCCCAGTCCTGAGCTGACACCTGAGCACAGGTGGCAGAAGTGACAAAGGTGAGGGAGAGGTCTCCCTTCTTCCCAGACTTGCCCCTTAGGGACATGGAAGGGGCTAGCACCAGTCTGGGAGAAGTACCCAGGACCCACTGTGCCAGCCAGTGCTCCAGGTGGCAACCCCATCCTGGCCCTGTTCCTGTCCCTCCTTCCTCCTCCCAGGTCCAGATGACGGGAACCTGAAGCCTTCTCCATCCAGGCGCTGCTCTCCCTGGTAGAGGTGCTGCCAGGGTCAGAGGGGAGATTCCAGGAGTCCTGCTTCCCTGGAGGGTGAGGGCAGGAAGACAGGGAGGATCCCGTGCAGAATCCCTGCACCCAGAAGTCTTGCCCAGCCTGCCTGGGCTATCTCCCTGGGGAGTCGGTTCCCACGGCATCGCTCGCTCTGCCCCACCCCCACCCAAGCCTCTGAGAAGGCGGGGCCTGGCTGTGCCCACAGGAGAACGGCAGTGCCAGGCAAACCAGCTTGGCTCGGTGCCAAGGTCCCGGCCGAGGCCTCGGGGAACCCGCACCTCCGCTTCCAAAAAGCCTGGGTCCAGGCGCCCTCTGGCCCTGGCCTTCAAGCTGTCCTCATCATCCCAGAGCGCCCTTAGGTGGTGCCGGCGAAACCGAGGAGGCTTCCTCCACCTCCCACCCACTCCTCCTCCGATGCACATACAAAGAGGTGTGGAGGACAAAGGTCTGACAAAGGCGCTTTGGAGGCCGACAGGTCATGAGGCGGCTGGACAGGACTGAAAGCCAGAGGATGGGGTCTGGAGCCTGGGCCGACCAACGTTCACCCACAACCAGATCGCCCCCGCCCCCACGAGCCCAGACTAACACGCTGGGCGCTAGGACCTAGGGGGAGGGGGGCGTGTGGCGGGCCATGAAAGAAGGCTTTTTGCGTGAGCGCCCGCGGGAGACCAGAGGATGAGGTCACTGAATGACTGTACCCCCCCAAGTCCCCACCATTCCCCCTTTAACTGACCTAACTTTCAGACCCTGGCTCCTCGATTCTGGCACCGACCCCCTCCCAAGTCCCCAAGCCCTACCCTAGCCTCAGACCTGGTCCGTTTCCAAAGCCTAGGAGGTGGAAGACAGCAGCGCACCCCTTTCCCGGGACCCCCTCCCATAGAAGATTGGGGTGCTGGCCTCCAGAGTGGGGGAAAGGGGTGCCGCAGGGGCGCAGCGCAACCTCTGTCTTGCGCCCCCACCCCCGGAAGCGCTAACAGAGTGGTTCTTACGTAATGCCTGGCTTCCAAGTCCCCCCCAACCCGCGCAACCCCCAGAGAGGCCCCGCACAGCTCAGTACTCTGTGACTGTCGTCACTTTGGGGCCCCTAACGCGGGGACAGGGGCCAGCGTCAATCGGCAGC